GAGTTTTGTGAATATCTTGATTATAGTGATTTTAGTGGATTTGAGATGCATTTGTGGATGTGAAATGTGATTTTTTTGTGTGTGTTCAGAAGAGGTGTGTTGGGAGATGGGTGAGTGGATGTGAAGAAAAATGCGGGTGAGATGGAGAGGTGTATGGGGAGGGTTGTAATTAGAAATATGGGGAGATTTTACTGAATATAAAGGTAATGTGTGAATATTTTAAAAAGAAATTATAGAATTGAAAAGTTATGATATATTGGAAAAAGAATGGAGGGGTGTTGAAAACATGTCGCAATAGTTGGGTAGTTGATGCGAGTATAATATTAATTTATGTGGATACAAGGACCTGGGTATGGAGAGGATTTTATTAGAATTTTAGTAATGTAAAGAGGAAATGTGTATTACATTTAAGATTCAGTAAAAAGAAGGGGAAAAAAATTGTGAATAAATTGGTAATTGATGAGGGTTGTGGGTAATGTAGTCGAATTAGAGATACCGAAAAAGATGATATAAGTGGGTTGTTGTTGTGACTTTTTCTGATGAAATTAGTTAAAACGAGAAAAATTGTGGGTTGTGTGTGTTGTGACTTTCTGATGAAATTAGTTAAAACGAGAAAAATATTGTGGGTTGTGTGTGTTGTGGGTGTTGTGGGTTGTGGGTGTTGTTGTCGAACTAGAGATACCGAGAAAGATGTTATAAGTGGGTTGTTGTTGGGACTTTTTCTGATGAAATTAGTTAAAACGAGAAAAAAATTGTGGGTTGTTGGTGATGTGGGTTGTGGGTGATGTGGGATGTGGGTGTTGTGGGTTGTGGGGTGTTGATCTTAGTTTATGGTGATTTTGGTGGTGTTTTGAGTGTATTCAGCGGTGTTTTAGTTAGTATTCAGTGGTGTATTTGGGAGTACTCAAATGGTGTTTTGAGGTTATTCAAAGGTGTGATTATAAGTTGTGGGTTGTTGTTGTTGTGACTTTCTGATGAAATTAGTTAAGCGAGAAAAAAAATTGTGGGTGATGTGGGTGGGGTTGTGTGTGTTGTGGGGTGTGGGTGATGTGGGTTGTGTGTGTTGTGGGGTGTGGGTGATGTGGGTTGTGGGTGTTGTGGGATGTGGGTGTTGTTGTCGAACTAGAGATACCGAAAAGACGTTATAAGTGGGTTGTTGATGTGACTTTTTCTGATGAAATTAGTTAAAACGAGAAAAAAAATGTGAGGTGTGGGTGTTGTGACTTTCTGATGAAATTAGATAAAACGAGAAAAAATTGTGGGTGTTGTGGGTTGTGGGTGTTGTGGGATGTGGGTGTTGATCTTAGTTTATGGTGATTTTGGTGGTGTTTTGAGTGTATTCAGTTGTGTTTTAGTAGTATTCAGTGGTGTATTTGGGAGTACTCAAATGGTGTTTTTGGATGTGTTTCAGTGTTGTTTGGAAATGTTCAAAGGTGTTTTTGAAGGTGTTCAAATGATGTGCAAGAGTACTTATGTAGGTGTTCTGGGAGTATTCAGAGGTGATTTGGGGGTGTTCGAATGATGTTTTTGGAGTATTTAAAGGCAATTGATGGTGTTTTTTGGTGATGTTCAAAGTAAAGTGTTTGAGTTAGTTTTGTGATAATGTTGTGAAGTCTGGAGACTGAGGGTGGAGTATGTGGGGATGAGTTGTAATTTAATGAAATGTGTAAGTGTAGATAAATTAGAGCTGTCAAATCTTATTTGGGAGTATTCAAAATGTTGTATTGGAAGTGTTTCAGTGTTGTTTGGAAAATGTTCAAAGGTATTTTTGTGAGTATTCAAATGATTTATGCGTGTTTTTGGTGTTCAACGTGAGGTGTGTGCGCGTATTAACTTCGTAATATGTAAAATTGTGACTATTGAATTTATCGAAAAGTGGATGTAAGCGATGTGGTGACTTTCTGATGTACTGTGTCCCCTTATTAACTTTAATGAACTAAAAGGGTTAAAACGAGAAAAATTGTGGGGTTATGAGTGAAAATTGTGAGGTGTTGGTTGGAGTGTGAGGGTTTGGGAGGGTGGGGAGAAGGTTATTTCGTGGGGAGTGACCTGAGATGAAATAGTTAAAAAATTGTCTAGACTTGTGTTGTAAAGAAATTGTGGGTATTAACGAAAAAATGTGACTTTCTGATGTACTGTGTCCCCTTATTAACTTTAATGAACTAAAAGGGTTAAAACGAGAAAAATTGGGATTAAGAGTGAAAATGTTTTCCCTATGTTGTATATGTGTATAGGGGGTAAGTGTCCCCTTATTAACTTTAATGAACTAAAAGGGTCGACAAGATTCTGCTTGTATGTGCGGGGTCAACACGTGACGTCACTGACATAGGGTCGACAAGATTCAGCTTGTATGTGTGACGTCACTGACCGCCGAGTAAACACCCTTCTTAGGTCATTTGACTTGTTTAGACCTGTAGTAAGCATGCTTACCCCCAGAGGGGGGAATCCAAAAACTTGATCCGAGGAATTGGAGACTTTGATTTCGAAACCCCATAGGGGGATCCAAAAACCTTGATCCGAGGAGATCATAAGAATTTCGAAAAACCCCATAGGGGGGAATCCAAAAAAAAAATTTGGTAATATCGAGAAATTTTTGGGGGTTGGGGGGTGGGGGTGGAAGGAGGGACAATCCAAAAATTTGATCCAAGGTGATGGAGACTTTCGAAACCCCCATAGGCGGGGGAATCCAAAAACTTTTATTATCGAGAAAATTTGATCCGAGGAGATCGAGTCTTGGTAATATTGAGAAATTTTTGGGAAATGGGGGTGAAAGTGGGAGGGGAGGTGAAAGTGGGAGGGGGAACCTCAAAAATTTGATCCGAGGAGCTCATAAGAAATTCAAAACCCCCATAGGGGGGAATCCCAAACTTGTATTATCGAGAAAAATTTGAGGTGGGGGTTGGGGGTGGAAGGAGGGACAATTCAAAAAACCTTGATCCAAGGAGATGGAGAATATCGACAACCCCATAGGGGGAATCCAAAAACTTGATCCGAGGAATTGGAGAATTTCGAAAACCCCATAGGGGGGAATCCAAAAACTTGGTAATATTGAGAAATTTTGGGGGGTTAGGGGGGAGTAAAAGTGGGGCGGGGGGAATTTCTAAAACCCCATAGGGGGGAATCCAAAAACTTGTATTGTCGAGTGAAAAAAATTTGGGGTGGGGGTGAAAGTGGGAGGGGCAATCCAAAAAAAAAATTGATTTGAGGAGATCATAAGAATTTCGAAAACCCCCATCGGGGGATCCAAATACCTTGATCCGAGGAGATGGAGAGCACAAGAAAATGAAATTCAAAAAGAATTCGAAAAAAATCGGAAAAAAAATCGAGGCGAGGGGGCGATCCGGATGACGCTGCAGAAGGCGCAGCAGAAGGCGCGGGCGGGGGTCGCGAAGGGCGTGTGCGGGGGTCGCGAAGGGCGCGAGCAGGCGCGCGGGCGGGCGCGCGGCGCAACGGGGGGTCGTGGGCGGGGGTATTGGTTGGGGGGTCAAGGGTGAGGTAGTCTCGAGGGCGAGGTCAAGGTCAAACCGGAAGTAACACCTAGGTGTGAAAAGGGGACCCTCCAGCCCCTGGTCCTAGACTGGAAGGAGTCACTCAGCCGCACCCCTAAACCGGAAGGAGTCGCTCAGCCGCACCCCTAAACCGGAGGGAGTCGCTCAGACGCACCCCTAAACCGGAAGGAGTCGCTCAGCCGTTTTTTTGACTACTTTATATATAAATATATATATATATATATATATATATATATATTATATATATATATATATATATATATATTATATATATTTACATATATATAGATATAGATATATAATCATATTTAAAATGAATCTAATCAGTCATTCTTAAGCTACAAACGACATAAAAAGCGAAAGTGTGAAGGAAGAAAATCAAATTTCTAGCAGCCACATAAAAGTGCTCCTTCAGATATTATAAGTTTTAGCATAAGCTAATTTTTTTAATTTAAATATGTTAGAATTTTAGATCTAATAATTTAAATGAATAAGTAATAAATATCTTGCATGGACATTAAATAATGTTATGCAAAGATGTGTTGGTTTACGAGCATTCTGAATTGTAATTTTTTGTAATATAAAAATAATGGAGATTCAGATTATTTTTCATTACATTCATTGGTCTTATTATACATCATTTTAAAGGTTTGTTATTGAAAACATATAACAAATATATTTAAAAGAAAAAAACATTCAAGTAAAAGGAATCCAACGCTTGAAATAATTCAATACTCTTGTGGTATGTGGTATATCACAAAACAATGGCTGCCTGACCTCTCCACCACTTATGCAAAATGCTGGAGAAAGCCTGACAAATCTGAGAAGTGATGTTTCTAACTCATTGAGCAGAATTAGTTGGCTTTCACCACCACTGATTGAAGACGATGTTTTTTAAAGTGATTCTTGCACGTATATACAATTTTATAGATCTCTGAACAGAGCGTACATTATTGTACATTTATTTTGATAAAGGAATACGTGGGTTAAGAATTTATTTTTAAAGGCTTATTTTTTTCCCCAAGTTGCCAAGCTGAGAGTTTCCTGATCTGTTTACGAACAGGTGTAATTTGCCCATCAGACAAACTGTATTCATAAAATTTCTAAACAGAAATAAAATATAAATTTACCTGTACTTATTAATGAGCATAATAAGAATCAATATATTTATTATGCATCTTAATAAATCTTAAGGAGCATTGCAACATTGTCATCCCTTATTCATTAGAATTATATTTCTCCGTTTACATAAAAACACAGTTTTATCAAACTTTCTTTTATATGTACAGTACTGCTGGCTTCTTAGTTGAATATTATTTGCATTTTATATAGGTTATCAGAATACAGAATCATATTCAATATTTATTTAGAGTATACATGAGTTTACAGAGCAATACATCTCTGAGAATATATCCTCACTTATCAATTTCTGTAAAAAATTATAATGTAAGGAAGAAAAACGTAGAGAAATATTCAAGCATTTATCTGCGTTCAGGAAAAGGCTAAAATATTGCGTATAATAATAGGTTAACAACGTCAAAAGCCAATAATTAACTGTCATAGGTTAAGTTGCAATCGGGTTTGATCTTCCAGTTCAACCGAACCTAATAAAATTTCTGGTGGGCGCTCTCACAGGTCTAACATCAAGCAATGACTCGCCGGTTTCAGAGGAAGAGGATGATTCAGGGTATTCGACAGATACATCCCGTTTGCCGAATCTCAGAAAGTTGCGGTTGCGGCCGAAGCGCAAAAAGCCTCGGTTATACCCACGTTTGTTTATGTCCTTTGTATCCTCAGAAGAGAATTCGTTAATCATTTCATCTTCTGGACGGATATCTCTGGCCCAGGCGGAGGGGCTGTAATAAGGTAGTGATACATATACACCTGGAACAGCTCTCTTCCAGCGCTGAGAAGTTATCTTCCCTGATTCAGAAGAATTAATGTTGTGTGATGATAAGTTTTGCTGCACTGGTGTGGTTGAGGGATCAGATGTGGTTTCAAGAGATTTGAATTTTTTAACGCAGCCATCGAGTGATAAGGAACTGAGCTGACAGTCGACGGAGCGGCCGAACCTCAGGAAATTGTGTGAAGGATCACGACCGAAACGTAGGAAGTTGCGACTTCGCTTCTCAGCTAAACCAGTGAGTCCGTCGTTGTCGTAGTCGCCATAGTTACTGCGCCCGAATCTGATGAAACGAAAAATGTTAATTAAGTTATACATTATTTGATTATTTCGTCCTATATTAGTTTATTTTTTTTATAATTTTAATTGCAAAGTTATATTAATACATTTCCAGTGAATTTGGTAAATTTGCAGTTTTTATTAAATAGTTTGCTATGAAATTTTAGCTCCATTTAGATTTCTTTCTTATATATATTCTAGTCAGGAAAAGTGGAAAATAACAGTTAATATTTTAAATGGTTTCATATATTGAGAATTTGAATTCCATAATTAAGCAAAAGGTTATCATTAAAATTAATATGTCTTTAAAAAACAATCAGAAATTTGAAGTACAAAGCTTTTCAGCTCAACAAACCTGAGGAAATTGCGGCCTCTTTTGTTCTCCACATCATTGCTACCAGACATGGGGAAGTAAAAGAGAGATAATTAAAAGTAAATACAAAGATTATTACAATGAGTAACTGATTAAGAACAAAAATTCATTACCAAGAGGAAATTGTCCCAGTCTTGTCCAAGACACACTATATCGTGCATAAATTCCAACAAATACTTCTCTCTGCATGCACTCTCCCCTGCATACACTTTTCCTTAAATTATCTTATATCTATGTACATAAATACTTTGATAAAATTCAGTGAGAAGTATAAACGCAATGAGAGTACACAAAATCGCAAAGGTTGCTGCGGATATTCTAAGTAGCCACATATACTGTTGTAATATAATTTAAGTGATGTTTGAGTGAAGACCTTAGAAAGAAATGCCTAGCGTTGCTGTCTTACAACAAGAACAAAAGAAAAAAAAAGTAGGGCTGTTGATAGAATACTAAAAACAGAAGCAAACATTGATTCAGCACACGAGGTTGGCTGAAGACTAGGCTAGCTCCTGTTGGTATGTGATGATGGTTGCAGTCCCTAACATATATTTCTTTTAGATCTGGGATAAACTAAGAGAGTAGTTCGTTGCATGTCGAGTCTACAACACTGTAAAAGGATAATGGAAAGACAAGTGGAAATTTGTCAAGATAGCTCTGTGGTTCACTGCTTTGAGTAACTGTGGAGAATTATGTAAAGATTAACACAGTAACTGTGGAGAATTATGTAAAGATTAACACAGTAACTGTGGAGAACAGTGTCAAAACTAACACAATAACTGTGGGGAACAGTGTCAAGACTAACACAGTAACTGTGGAGAACAGTGTCAAGACTAACACAGTAACTGTGGAGAATTATGTAAAGATTAACACAGTAACTGTGGAGAACAGTGTCAAAACTAACACAGTAACTGTGGAGAACTATGTGGAGACTAACACAGTAACTGTGGAGAACTATGTGAAGACTAACACAGTAACTGTGGAGAACTATGTGAAGACTAACACAGTAACTGTGGAGAACTATGTGGAGACTAACACAGTAACTGTGGAGAACTATGTGGAGACTAACACAGTAACTGTGGAAAACTATGTGGAGACTAACACAGTAACTGTGGAGAACTATGTGGAGACTAACACAGTAACTGTGGAGAACTATGTGGAGACTAACACAGTAACTGTGGAGAACTATGTGGAGACTAACACAGTAACTGTGGAGAACTGTGAAGACTGACACAGTAACTGTGGAGAACTATGTAGAGACTAACACAGTAACTGTGGAGAACTGTGAAGACTAACACAGTAACTGTGGAGACTAACAAAGCAGCTGTGAAGACTAACACAGTAACTGTGGAGAACTATGTGGAGACTAACACAGTAACTATGGAGAACTGTGAAGACTAACATAGCAACTGTGAAGACTAACACAGTAACTGTGAAGACTAACACAGCAACTGTGAAGGCTAACACAGCAACTGTGAAGATTAACACAGTAACTGTGAAGACTAACACAGCAACTGTGAAGACTAACACAGTAACTGTGAAGACTAACACAGTAACTGTGGAGACTAACACAGTAACTGTGGAGACTAACACAGTAACTGTGAAGACTAACACAGTAACTGTGAAGACTAACACAGTAACTGTGGAGACTAACACAGTAACTGTGGAGACTAACACAGTAACTGTGAAGACTAACACAGTAACTGTGGAGACTAACACAGTAACTGTGGAGACTAACACAGTAACTGTGGAGACTAACACAGTAACTGTGGAGAACTGTGTGGAGACGTAATAATATACTATTTGTGAGACTCAAATTTCTAATGTTTAATTCTTTGTGTATATTATAACATATCTCTGTAAAGTACTGAGGAAATGTTAAATTAATGTCGATTAAACACCATGAAAAAGAATATTGAGTCAAACTGAGGAACTTTAAAAAGAAGAACTCTTTCTATTTAGGAAAAATGACCGATTTCTTCTTCTGGGCTCTTCATCCAAAGAATTAGAGCATTTCTTCCTTTTTGATAGAATGTGATTGCGTCACATTACAGAGGCACTTAAAAACCCAAGTGTGTTTAGCACTTCCCATTCGTGTAATAAACTAGAAGTGTGTCGATCGATACACGACCCGATAAACGGGTCCCAATGTTGCATAACCCAGCAACGTTTGCATCAATTCACGATTAATAAATACAAGCTCCAAAAAAAACTTCATCACCCCATGCACTGATTGTTATAATTCCATATATATTCTAATTATACGAATAGTTAAAACATTTAATCACTTGCTCACCTCAAGTAGTTTCTGTTAGTAAAACCTCCATTCAGATCATCCTGACCGACTATATATAAACCATCAACACTGCCCATCAGTGCCTGGTTTTCTGCGTCGATGGAGTTGTCTGGTGTTGCATAAACAGTGAGAGCGTAGGAACACCAAGGGAAGGATTCCAGATGTATCCTGGCTGCCAGCAGCAAGATGCACAACCTGCAGCAGTGACAGAGGCCAAGTGTTCAGATGTACTCAGTAAATCTTTTAATGAGAATATATTAAAATGTTTTAACACACACACATACACACAGCGGCCAGTGAAGAGGCGGAGTCAGTAGCTATGAATCGACCCTTGCAACCACAACTAGGTGAGTGCACACGGTGAACATAACACCGAGCATATCTCCGGAGGCCCACATCAACCAGATAACTGCTGCAGCATATGGGCACCTGGCAAACCTGAGAATAGCGTTCCGATACCTTAATAAGGAATCGTTCAAGATACTGTACAGTACTGTATACGTCAGGCCCATACTGGAGTATCCTACACCAGTTTGGAACCCACACCTGGTCAAGCACGTCAAGAAGTTAGAGAAAGTGTAAAGGTTTGCAACAAGGCTAGTTCCGGAGCTCAGGGGAATGTCCTACAAAGAAAGGTTGAGGGAAATCGGCCTGACGACACTGGAGAACGGGAGAGTTAGGGGAGACATGATAACGACATACAAAATACTGCGTGGAATAGATAAGGTGGACAGAGACAGGATGTTCCAGAGATGGGACACAGAAACAAGGGGTCACAATTGGAAGCTGAAGACTCAGAAGAGTCAAAGGGATATTAGGAAGTATTTCTTCAGTCAGAGTTGTCAGGAAGTGGAATAGTCTAGCAAGTGATATAGTGGAGGCAGGCACCATACATAGCTTAAAGACGAGGTATGATAAAGCTCAAGGAGCAGAGAGAGGACTTAGTAGAGATCAGTGAAGAGGCGGGGCCAGGAGCTATGACTGGACCCCTTTAACCACAAGTAGGTGAGTACACATACATTCATGCACATACCAGTCCAAACACTGTAACCACTCAGCCACAGATCTGAATTTACAACCAGCACAACTGTGACTTGGTTGTATCATCGGCTCCATCTCTGACACTACTGTCTCATTCCTCAGCCTCAGAACCTTTCATGGAACGCCTTTTCTTATAATTCTTAAAGCCAGCTAGTCCAAGAACCCAGGTTAGCCATAATAATCTGACTGTTAATGAGCAAGAGAATACTGGGTGGGGACTCGAACCGTGGTCTTTGTACATCCCATGGAAAATATTATCACCACTAAACTACAAAGCTTACACTAGGATGATTTGACAACGAGCACTAGTGAGACAAGGTTGTACCAGAAGTTACCAACTATCACTCTTCTATACCATCCCATATTCCCTAAACTTTCAAGGCTCGTCTGTTCTCTTTGTCTATAAACCCAAGATAAGTTATAATGAACGCACTCCGTCATTGCAGGTTCTAGGCAGAACGTCATATCCATTCAGTCACAAGAGCTTTAACTGGATGAAAAGAAAAAAAAAAAAAAAACATCATTGTGAGGTGGTCAATGATGACAATGTTTCTGGACAACAAGGAGATGCTAGAGAAATAGGGAGCTGATGTGAAGACATTGTGATGCCCTTGTTGAGTAGGAAGCGTCCAATTACATTACTGACGAAAAGAAAATAATCTTCTGTTCTTAGTGTGAAGAACTGCCAAACAAAGCAACTATATATGAACAATGTTACCCTCACTCATGCTGACGCACAAACTATCTAGTACTGTATTTATCAAGGACGCAGACATCACCTCATGTCAAATTTATGTTGCACGTTAAAAATGTAGAACCCGATTCTCCAGGAAATTGAAAGAGAACTTGGTTCTTAATGCCCTTTATGTTATGTTGAGACATGAGCCATGACTCTGACTGCCCGCTAAGTAGTTGACCTGGATTGTAATTTTGGAACTTGTAAACAGAGTAGGGAAATTAGAGGAATCTATAACGTTATACATTTGTATAGCGTTATAGGAAGAATTACATAATCCTACAGAAATACTAATACATGGAACGAGATTCAGAACAAGTGAAAGAAATCTTTGTTATTGAAATGGTATTCTCACCTTCTGGAACTAGAATGTAAATGATCACGTACCGTTAGAATGAGATTCTGGATAAGGACTATTTCCTGCTTACTCAATGTGAAACTGTGATGAATGGTTTGAAAAACCGACAATTTGAAGATTGAGACACTTATACAACATGTGGATTCTTTAGATATGTTGCATAAGTGTCTCAATCTTCAACTTGTCGATTTTTCCAACCATTCATCACAACTGTCAGACATTGCAGCATCATGGGATCTTGTTACAAAGAATTCTTCAACACTTGTTCAACCTTCGGACGAAGACCTACTTCGACTAGTGGATGGTACCACTATGACCCCGCCTCCTCCTGCTTCACCTCACCTCACTACAGTATATAAGCCACGTCTACGGCCCTATGCTGTACATTCTACAAGATTGATGGACTGAACACATCGACCCCAGGCTGAGGGACTGATTACCTCAAACTCCTCCTCTCCTTACGCCTTTCTACTTTGTATTGGACTGATGAAGCCACTGTGTGGCGAAACGTTTCCTGAATAAAGATTCCCATATGTTGTATAAATGTCTCAATCTTCAATGTGAAACTGGCCACCTTGCCAAATACCTTTCAGCGCTTCTGGGCACTATCAGTCAAGCCCACCTCAAACATTCAGGTGACCTTCTCTCCCGAATTTCCAACCTGAATGTCAAAAACAAAAGCATGGCTTCCTTCGATGTCACAGCCCTCTTTACCAACGTTCCTACTGACGCTGCAATCAACATTCTGAGACAGAGGCTCACTGAAAACCACGACCTCCCTTTACCTCTTCTAGATTTCATCAATCTAGTGGAACTGTGTGTTAATTTCAACTTCAAGTATCAGGACAACTGTTACAAACAATGCTTTGGGATGGCAATGGGCAGCCCGCTCAGTGCTGTGCTTGCCAACCTCTTCATGGAAAACTTGGAGACAGAAATTCAGCACCCTCATTCCCAACACCGTTACCTGGCTAAGATACGTTGATGATATATTGGTTTTCTATCCAAGACGTCTCAATATCCAGGCCCTTCTCAACAAGATCAATGCAGTTGAACCATCAATAAAGTTTACACTTGAACTCGAAAATGATGGCAAACTTCCTTTCCTCGACGTTCTACTGTGCAGATCTCCCGACAGTGACAAACTTCTCTTCAAAGTGTATAGAAAACCTACCAACAAGGACGATCTTATACACTTTTATTCACACCAAGATACCCGCACTAAGAAAGGAGTTCTCATTGGCTTCTTCTTGAGAGCTCTTCGCATCTCCAGCCCTTGTTTTCTAGAAGAAGAATGCACTTACATAACACAAGCCTTCACACGTCTTCAGTTCCCATCTTTCTTCATCCGAGATTGCAGACTCAAGGCACAAGCTATCCTCAACAAACCGCCCATGGAACAGCCCCCTAAACAGTTCATAGTACTCCCATGTGGCGATGTTGCCACGAATACTCGCCGGGCACTTGCTATGAGTAACATCAACGTTTCCACCATAAACACATCCCCTATCAAAGACCTCACTACTAAACGCAGCCCCACACCTCTAACTTCTACAGCAGGCGTCTACACTATCCCCTGTGGGTTCTGTCCCAAGAAATATGTAGGCGAGACAGGCAGAGATCTTGCAGTCCGCCTGAATGAGCATCGAAATGCCTCTAACAGAGACGATGTAAGGTACGCCTGTGTCCTCCACAGACACTCCACGGGGCATTTGATGAACTGGAACGAGGCACAACTCGTTCTCACCGAACCAGACCTCAGACGCCGACGGTGCCTAGAAGCCTCACTAATCACCGTCACCGACACTAGAACGCAACACTGGAAACTACAAAATTTCAAAAACATTGGCATACATGATACTTAAGCAGCACCAACCCAACAACACAGGAGCCACATGATTTCATCGTCTACTCGTCCTCATCATAGGCAGAGGTTGTGTACGAATGGTATATAATACCGACAAGATGAGAGTAAGACACATGTGCAACATCTGGGTATCTTTATTGTAGACGTTTCGCCATCCAGTGGCTTTATCAATACAAATTCTAGGACATAACTTGAAGACAGTAGAACTATGTACAGAAGGTGAGGTAATCAGTCCCTCAACCTACTCCTAGGTTGAGGGACTGATTACCTCATCTTCTGTACATAGTTTCTACTGTCTTCAAGTTATGTCCTAGAATTTGTATTGATAAAGCCACTGGATGGCGAAACGTCTACAATAAAGATACCCAGATGTTGAAACTTTGTGTTTTCTCTCATAGGAAAGGGGTTGTTTTGATAAGGACCTCCCCCGGGCAGGGGCCGGGTGGGCCCCTTCTACATTTTTCCCCCTTTTCTTATTTTTTTGCTTTCCTCGGTCACGTCCCGTCACATCTCACTCTCCCCCTAAAAAATAATGTCTTTCTACCTCTGTATGTTAAAAAGTGATCAAGGCCCCAGGACCAAACGTTTTCTAATAAATATGTTAAGGTTTGTTTTACGTGCCCTTTCTAAACCTTTTTTTCCCTTATTCCTAGTAATGGCCCTCGTTTTGTAGATAAAATTAATGACCCTGTGAGTAGATGTCTTTTTAGTATGATATAAGATGTTATCTTCATTATAAAATAATAAGAAAATATTATAACCTTTATATTATAATAATAAGGTAAATGGACCCAATGGAAATAAGTCATTGTCTGACTTTTTTGGGGTATCCTAGGTTCTCTACACATATGCTGCTATAAGAACATAAGAATGTAGGAACACTGCAGAAGGCCTACTGGCCCATGTGAGGCAGGTCCTTATCAAAACGACCTCTACCTAAAGCTACCCAAGAAATAACTCCCGTACCCAATGACACCATTCAAACCCAGCCCCTCCCACTCATATATTTGTCTAGTCTCTTCTTAAAGCTACCCAAGGTCCTATCCTCTATCACCCCACTGGGAAGACTGTTCCACGCATCTACAACTGTTAGAAAACCAGTAGTTACCTATGTCCTTTCTAAATTTATCCAACTTAAATCCATTGCTTCTGGTTGTTACCTGGTTCGACACCCTCAGTACTTGTTTATGCCCATCATCCACTTATACACTTCAATGATATCTCCCCTGTATGATAATTCTATGTAACTGTATTTGTGTATACCTGAATAAACTTACTGCTGGATGGACAGAACTGCTGGAACTATGAACTGAAGGAAGAGTGGTGTGTGCTGCTGGATGGTCACAACTGCTGGAACAATGAACTGAAGGAAGAGTGGTGTGTGCTGCTGGATGGTCACATCTGAACCCTTTACCAGGCAGGTCCGAGTGTACTCGGGCCTGAACGCGTATTTTCTGTTCATGTCCTCCTACTCCCCCTGCGCATCTGGGTTCCCATTCTCTATTTCTGACCAATCACAAGCCTTCCCTGAGTCTCTCCAGCTAAGTGGCAATGGCGTCTCCTTGCTTCCCATTGGTCGAGAGAGCCAAATGTAAACACTTCTAGCTTGGCGTCGCCCAGACTCATTTTTTTCGTCGAGTGCTCCTCATATACTCTTGGATTTCACCCTTTACAATGTCGGTAAGTACTGATTTGTGTGTCTAGTGCGTAAATGAATAGTTTAGCTATATTTTGATATAAAGACATGAAGCATAATAAGAGTGCACCATGCAAATGAAAAAAGTGCAACATAAGAGGTCCGAGTACACTCAGACCTGCCCGTTTAGGTGATAGCATCTAAACGGGCAGGTATATAATGGGTATATAAATATTTCCATAAAACTTGGTAGTGTATATATGAATTCAGTAGTGGTCTGGATCTGTATGTCCTTCCAGATCAATCAGAAATTGTTCTATGGTGAGTCATCCAAGGATTAGTTGAAATTTGTCTGTGGGATGAAAGTGACTCAGATCAAGAGCCAGGTGACCTGGAATTGGTGGACACTGATGATGAATAGCTGCCACCAGATGCAGAGGTGTCAACAGATGAGGAGGAAGCTGGGCTCTCGATAGTATCAGTTCCCAGTAGTACCAGTTACCAGTAGTATGACTCACTACCAACCGTCTGTGTGAATCACTTGTTATTCACTGTTCAGCTGACCTAGCATGTTTTGAATGCCGCTACCCTTCGAGGCACTCTGCGAGCCAGTTGAAGTAGAGACGGCAAGACAGATGGCAGGTCGGTCTTGGTGCTTCACAGATATTCCACCCAATATATCAGAACATCCAACGTGAGTGTTTTTACCCAATCCACATTATCGAATTCCCCACATGACAGGGCCACCAGCCAAAAAGCTAGGTTAGGTAAGCTGCTTACATGCAAGTATTGCAGCAAAAAAGAATAATCATGTCACATCCTGATTTTCCTGTGCCACATGCAAAGTAAATCTATGCATCAAGAAGGATAGAAATTGTTTCATAAAGTTTCACTGCAGAAATTAGTAATGTAAAATGATTGTTCTTTCTCAGGAAACTCAGGAATATTTCATTAGAAAGTTGTATCCCATTGCAATGTCATTGTTGATAAGTAGTTCCTATTTCTATTTTTTTTAATGCTTACAAAATGTTCAGAAACAATTTCCATTTATGTTTTTTTATAATATCCACTTGCATAATAAATTTAAAAAATAGTTATTTGTTTTTTTATTAACAATTGTAACCTTGCAATTTTATTTTTTAAAACCTTTTAACGGGCAGGCCCAAAGTTTACTCGGACTTTGCATTCTGAAATTTGCTCGACACGTAACTTTTACAACCCTTTTATATGGCCTATTGCCCTTAAAAGAGCTGCTCTATCCCCTTGTACAAAATCACTTTCAAATTCGCTTTTTGGTCTGCTTGCCCCCTGAAGGGATTTTTAAAAAAGTAAGATAAAACTTCAAAAATTTTTCCCTAGAAATTCGGAAACATTTTTATTATCTCAGAAATGGAAAGGGAACTACCATAATTTTCCTAGGGATTTCCCAAAAGCAAATGATCACAAAGCTTCATTGATGTCAGCAGCATGTCCCCCCACCAAGGTGTCAGTTGAACACCGGGGCCTTTAGTTCTCGTGTCACTTAGAAGAAATTTTGAAGATGTTCCTTGAACACGGATTTAAAACCAGCCCCTGGGGGAAACCCTATCATCAGGATTTCCCCTTATCATAGTGGTTTTGGGAAATGAGCGAGGTTGAGTTTAGGAAAACAGAACGGAGAGGATTGCCTTCCTGGAATGAGGGAAACGGAGTGAATGATCCTATCTTTCCGGGTTGGGGTTATTCCAGCATTTCCCACCCCATTCCCACAGTGCTTCGTCCCTGGGGATCGGGAGGGGGTGGGTATGTCACGATTCATTTTTAGATCCAATACTTATGGTAAAATGTGGGCACAAGGGTTTTGTTTATTTCAGAACTTGAGTGATAGTAAAAACCCCCTTCAAAACACACACACACCACACACACACCGCACAACGCACACAGCACACACACATACCCCAACACACATAAACCAAAAAAATGCTGCAGCTAGGGGCCCCTGGAAAACCCTAGAATAGCGTTCCGATACCTAAAAAGGAATGTTCAAGAACGTACATGGTATGTTGGGTTATACGGGAGTATGCAGCCCAGTCGGAACCCCACCGGGGTAAGCACGTCAAGAAGTTAGAGAAAAAGTTAAAAGGTTTTTCAACAAGGCTAGTCCCAAGCTCGGGGGAATGTCGACGAGAAAAGGTTGGGGAGATCGTATGACAACATGGAGGACAGAAGGGTGGGGGAGACTTATAACGACAACAAGTACGGGGGAATAGACAAGGGGGAAGGATAGGATGTTCCAAAAGGGGGGAACGGGAAAGGGGTCACAATGGAATTTGAAGCCAGACGAGTAGGGGGACTTTGGAAGTTTTTTTCAGTCATGATTTGTCAGGAAGTGCAATAGCCTGAAATGAAGTGTGGAGGCAGGAACCATCATAGTTTAAGAAGGGGTATGTACAGCCAGGAAGCAGAGAGGAGGGATCTAGTAGCGATCAGTGAAGGTGGGGGCCCTGGAGCTGGTTCGACCCTGAAACCACTTTTAGGTGAGCCAATTAGGTGAGTCACACACACACAAACACACACACACACACCCACACAAAACACACAACACACAACCCCCACACACAGTGGAGTGGATAGTCGCTCGCGATTGAGTTCGTTATTATATCTCTGCTCTAACTATTTAACTTGTCGCTCTGCTGATAAGTTTAATTACTTGGAGCTCCCAACTTGTGCTCAGTTGAACCTCTCTTTATTGGTGATTATAATGCAAAACAAAAGCTTGGAAACTCTCAGTTTGGTAATCGAAGGCAAAACTGTTTCACTCTTAAACAGTCATGTTAAAGTTGCAAATTGTAGGTGACCTTTGAACCCAAAATATCTTGGGGGGTTTTTCCTTGATCTGTGTCTTGGCTTCAACATTATTTGCCTGTGAGTCTTCCATTGTAACAGATATAGCGTTGATCATTTCCCAAGGCTAACCCCTCTAGATATTGGTAATACTTTTTCCCTGGTGGGATTTTTCAACGGAAACGTCTTATGTTTCCCCGATAAAATGTGATTTTGTTGCAATGTGACGAGGGGTATAATTTCCCTATGAGTGTACCTCTGTGGATTTTAAACAATACCTTGGACAGTTTTCAGAACTTCTTAGAGCCGCCTCTGAAACCCCCACTACTCAAATCCAAATGATTCCCATAATAATCATAAGTTTAAAAAATTAACCTATTACAATGATTCAAAACTTCGAACTTTAAAAAACGATGCTCGCAGGCTGGGCCCACCCTATGAAACCATCTTTAACCCTGAAATGCGAGCCTTTCCCAAAAACTGCCCTTGCTCTCCCCAGAGAGCTATGCAGAGCTGCGGCAAACAGACGGGGAACAATTTGTAAATGGTCTCAATGCCACCCCCCATTACCGGGCATGGAGGGAAAAAAATAAATTAAAGGGGTAACAAACGGGCAGATCGCGACCTCATCCCTTGCTAGGGCGAATGGTTGTCAGTGCTTGGGGCTACTCAGCTAACGTTTTTCCCCAGTACCACACAGGCAAAATTTAAATGGACAAATATGAGCAAGGGGGACTTGTTTGCTTTTTGTCAGAAGGCAGATGACGCAATTTTCCTTTCACAAATTTGATTTGATGCAGCACTAAAAAGGGGAAACCCCACGTCGCCGGGTGAGGATGGTTTACTTACAACTACTAGATTGCTGGTGAGTACCAGGAAATCTTTACTTGTTATATAACAGGGTTATGTCACTGGGGGCCCCCTAAATATGGCCAATGCCTCATTTTTTCCCATTCCAAAGCCCAAAACAAAATCATTTCGCCCAATACCCTTACAAGCGCTTGTGTAAAAATTTGAAAGGATGATTTTTAATCGTTTATGCACAAAATTAAGGAATTTTTGTCCCCCCGTTGCATGGCTTCATGCAGGGGAAGGGTGTGCCTTTGCATTACCCCCTTTTTACTCTGCCCCTGACAGCTCATACACTCTTTCCTTGACCTAAATCCGTTTTTGATGTACCAACAGACATGTAATCATAGTGAACTTCCCCAGATGGATGTTGGAGGTTGGGTTTCTCCGCGGGATTAAAGGTTACCCCAAACAGAAAGTTCTTTTTGTTCCAGGGACATAGAAGTGTAACTAAAGATTTTGAATTGGGAACCCCCCACGGGAGGGTGTTGTCCACCCTTTTCAACATTTTTTTAATCCCTTTACTTAATCCCCATCCCCTACCAGCCCCATATTATAGGGGTTAGTTTGCTGAGACTAATGATTCACACCCCCGGTTTCCCCAACCCCCAAAACATTCTTAACATTTTTTAGCCTCGTGCGGACTGGGGTTAAAATTCAGGGGATAAAACAAAATTCAAAGGTCCTCCCCGGCAGAAGGGGGCACATTTCGTCAGATCCGTTGCATGATGGGTTCTTCTAGAATAGTAAGCAGTTTTCAGGGATCTGGGTTTGAGGTTTCCCCTACTTGGGGGCCGTTGTAACGAGACTTTGTCCCAAAACAAAAAAAGGCGAGAGATTAGAGTTGTGGCAGGTTTTCATCCCAGGGAGGTGCTAATGTTAAAAAATTTTGAAAATTTGTATCTTGTTATATTAGATCATTGGGGTTTTTATGCAGCGCCCTACTTGCACCGTTTGACGGAACTTGGAGGCTGGAAAAAACGCAAAACGAAACAATGAGGATCATCCCAGGATGCCCTCGTACGCTAAAAATTTTTAAAAATGCGGAAAAAACTTAATATTCCCAAAACATTAGAAGTCGGTTACTGAAAAAAAATATCCCCTTTTTGGGGTCAAATGCTTAGGCTAGCCATTCAAAACCCCCGCACAAAACCCTCCAAAAATTTTTTCCCCGCACTGGTGAAATCCCTTTCCCGATGGATCGAAAAAAAAGGAACCGACCTCCCCATAAACCCGCTCAGACTATATCAAGTTGGACAACAGAGAATTTCCCGCTCCATGGGAATTACCCTTCCAAAAATACATTCCTCCATTTCCCCCCCAAAAATCTCTTAAATCAAACCCAAAACTTCGTTTGAACCCAAAATGAGCCTTAACTGTATTGTAACAGTCACCAAAAACAATCTTTCACAAATTATTTACGTGAGGTTCTGTTCACCGTCCACTGGTGCAGTGGTATGGTGTTGTCGTACAGAGTGATGGCTTCATAAAAAAATTGGGGAAGCATCAATAACTGGGTCTATCCCTTTAAGCGAATGTTTTCCATATCCTTGCCTCAAAAGTTTTTCCTGTATCATGGTTGAACTTTTAATTTTAACGATTCTCTGTCATCCATAAAAACTCTCAAACCCTTAAGTAAAATTGTGAGCTTTGGTAGAAGCCCGCACCGGGAGGGAAATTGTGGACAGTGGGGTCAGAGGCACATGGTGGATTCCACTCAATTTGGGCTTCGATAGAAATAGAATAAAATTTGCTAAACTGTATGCTTTCAAAAAAGGGAGTAGTTACAAATTTTTCTTTTCAGGTAGTAGTTTGAGAACAATAATACGAAAAGAATTCAGGGTTTTTTTGGGTTAAGGGTCGGGAGATTTACACCATGAGTCCCTTTCATCTTTATCATGCAGGAGGGCCACTGTCTATGGTGCATCCAAAAAGATAAGTAGATCCCTTTGGGTGTCACTACCGCCCCGGGTCCCGGTGGGTTACAAGTATCTGTGGGGTTTTAAAACACCACCACCAGAT